GGTCCAGAAATGCAATTGAGTAGGTTGAATAACGTGTCTCCTATGGGAGTGGTAGCGAGGGAGAACTTCTCTTTCCATCCAGTTGCAAATAACCTGAGTCACCTACTTGCTTCTCAGGCATCAGAACATATTCTGGGAGCTATCTGTGTCAGAACCGATATCAAATTTCTTGCTAGGGGCAAAAGTTGAAATTAGCAGTTCTTTTTTGCCTATCTGCTCTCCCTCTCTCTAGCCTCACCATTAACAAGGACACTCCTCACACTATACCCACACCCACATACAAGGTAAACTGTTCACTTTGTTTAGAAAGCTCTTCTAGGAGTTTTTTCCCAAAGTTGAATGCTGAAGATGTCTCCCGTTTAGTATAAGCAGTAGAGGAGAAGGTGCTTAAAAGTTCTAGGTATTCTGCATTCTTTCTTTAATTCCTTGCTTTGATAGTTGTCCCAGACCTGCTTTTTTGTTGACTCTTTTGTTGACTCTGAGCTGGGAGCTTTGTTGAGAGTGGCTTTTTTTTTTTTTGACTTCTCAACAGCTTTTTTTCTGTATGAGTTTTGTTATAGGTTTTGCTCTGGTTTCACTGTTAAATAGATCATAACTGCTCACAATTTCTGACCTGTTCAGGGATCTTTTGAAATTTGTTTGATAGTGAAGGGGAGCAGAATATGCCACCCAAAAATGTACCAATTTGACATGTAGATTATTTTGAGCTGAAAGCAATCAAGACCCAGGAGTCTCAAGAAAAACTTTTACCTCTCCCTCAACTGGCTAAAATAATTTAGATAAGGAAAGCTTGGCCCAGAAAGAGAGCTATCATCAGAAATAACTTTTTATCCGAAAGATTTATTTGCATGGCAGGGCAAACATCTGCTCTTTTATCTTCCTGTGAATTGGCCTCCTCCCCTTTGAAGCTTCAGGACCATGTCCCAGTTTCTTAGCTCAAGATGACATATAAGCCTCGATTGCCTGACTACTTTTGGATCTCATATTTTTTGGAGCTCCCCTCTGTACAAAATTAAATTTGCTCTTCTCTCCTACATAATTTTATTAACCAGTATCACCCCATTCAATTTCATAAAATTAAAAAAAATAAATAAATGAATAATCCAAGACTTATTTCTGGGTTCCTGCTTTAGGACTCCATTAACAATCTTTTTGGTAGTAAACAATTATTTAACTTTTAGTATTGAAAGGAATGTAAATTTACAAACACATATGCAAATAATATTTTAAAACATTTGAATGAAATGGAATATTATATTGAAGATTAAAAAAAAATTTGTTTTTCTCCTGTTAATCTATCTTATGTCAATTTATTTATTAGACCAGCCAAAAAACCTAGAAGGGTAGAAGGAAAATTTGATCCTCTCCTACAATAGTTTCTGAGCCCTGTTATGCATATATTCAATTTAATATCTTGAACCAGATTTCAATTTTGAACTTTTATTGGTACCTCTCTTTTAAAATGATCATGTTAAAGTGATCAGGTTTAACATATTTCAAAGAATAAATATATTTTTTGTTTTTGGTAATTTTCAATTTTAATGTAATTTAACATTTTTAGAAAGGATGCAATGGTACAAAGAACTCTTGTGTACACTCTCCCTAGATTCACCAATTGTTTACATGTTGCCCATTTGCTTTACTAGTCTCTCCCTGTCCCTACACACACACACACACACACACACACACAACACACACACACACACACACACACACCCCTACATGATTATTTAGAACAGTTTGAGAGTAAGTTCTCTGTTACCATCTCGTTAATGTGTATTTCCTAAGAATAAAGACATTCTCTTACATTACCACAGTATAATTATCAAAATTAGGAACTATAACATTGATACAAAATAATTATCTAATCCATAGTTCATATTCAGAATGTTATTAATTGTCTCAATCAATATTCTTTATAATTATTTTCCATTTCCCAACCACAGAAGAGCCAAGCCAGAGTCACACATGGCAATTAGCTGTCGTTTTTCTCTACCTTATTTGACCTTGAAATTTTGAAAAGTACAGGTCACTTATTTTGCAGTGTGTCTCCCATTTGGAGTTTGATGTTATGTTGTGATTATATTTAAGTATGTATTTTTGATAGGACTAAGATAGTGATGTGTCCTGTATCAGTCAGGATCCAATAAGAAAACAGATACCACACCAGTGATTTTAAGGAAAAATTTAATATAGAGAATTGTGTTCCAGTAAAAAATAATCAGTTACTAAAAGCGGTAAAAGAAGACTGTAAGTCATAGAGAACTTATACAGAAGTAGCAACTACAAAATGCAGCTGCTACCTTTATGGCTGAAGAAGCTTTAACAAAAAAGTAACTTAAAAGCCTACTTTCTTAACCACAAGGTAGAGATTCAGACCTCTGAAGAAAGGGTGTGGTTCCTGCCACAGGAACAGGCAGCCCACTGATGAGGTAATAGAAAAATTGCTGGAGGGTGTGGGTCATTGTTGAACTTCCGATGGGAGCCTCTTTGTCCTTTTGACATATCCCCATCATTTTTTTTTGATCAATTCTTTTGTGCACATAGATGTTCTATGTTTATCTTGTACTTTTCTTACCCGAGGACCCTTCATTTCTTCAAAGGGGCATGGTTCCTTTTAATGGAGAATGGTATTGAGAAACCAAGATCTGATTATAAGTTGTGTTTATTGTTACTTGTATGTCATTACTTTAGTCCCTACCAACAGAGTCAGGAAATCTGTATATCTAAATATACTCAATATATTTATACACGTGCTCACACATAAGAAAACACAAGAAGTAGTTTTATAACTGATAAATATACCATTATGTAGAGCAAGCCTACTAATTAGACTTTAATATTTGTTTAAAGTTCTATTTCTTTAATGTTGAGGTAAAATTTATAAATCATGAAATGCACTATTCTTAAGTATACAATTCAGTCTTGACAAATGCATCATAACCATAATCACCTGTTATCAAGATTTAGTAGGTTTTCATCACCCAAGAAAATTTTCTCATGTCCCTTTCTAGTCATTTCTCCTAAGTTTTGGAATTTTATATTAAATTGAATCATATGAGTGATTTTTTTTTTCACTCAATATAATATCTGTGAGATTCTGTTGTGTATATCAGTGGCAAGTATCTTTTTGGCTGAATAGTATTATATTGTGTGAATATTCACAATTTGTTTATCTGTTCTTTTGGATTGTATAAATGTGGTTCTATTTCTGGACTTAATTCTGTTCCATTGATCTGTCTCTTTATCATACCAACAACACACTGGTCTTGATTCCTCTAGTTTTATAAGTCTTGAAGTAAGGTAGTATAAGTCTTTCTTTTTTTTTTTTCCAAGAATGTTTTGGCTCTTCTAGGTATTTTGTATTTCCATATATATTTTAGGATCAACCTGTCAATTTCTATGAAATAATTTTTCTATGATTATAACTGGAATTAATATGATTCTAATAATAAATTTGGGAAAAGACATTTTAACAGTGTTGAAGTATATAATCCATGGATAGGATATAACTTCTTTATTTAGATT